CTGAAGACATGTTGGTGTAACTTGCTTTCCAACACCGACAGTTTTGGGTGGAGCATGTGGGCGGCTTGGCAAAGTAAAACATAACGCTGTCGCAATACATTTGGCTCTAAAATCCACAGATTTGAGCCGAGGTGCACCAAAATCAGTATGATCGATCATTATCCACCCCTTGAACAGGAAGCCATGATAAGTGGCCAATAGCCTCTATAGCACCCTCTACGTTATACTTACATTTATATCTCGGCCATACATCATCCGATCTGCTCCAGATTTTTGGTGCTTGATCAGTGAGCACTTCTACACGCATTTGTATTGTTGTTTAACTTTTGACTCAAGTGCGCCCCCTAGATTATTCCAACAGTTATATCTCAGTGACATATCATCAGATATGCACCAGATTTTTTGTGCATGATGTGTGAGCACTTGTAGACACATTCTAGACACTTTTTTTTGTTTAACATTTGACTCGAGTGCACCCCCTACATTATTCCGATAGTTATATCTCAGTGATACATCATCCGATCTGAACGGAATATTTTGTGCTTCATCAGTGAGCAACTACAGACACATTGGTATTGTTGATTCATGACATGACTTAAGGCCCACCCACTCAGAGAATAAACTGTCAATTATTGGGTGACTCTTCCAGCTTGGCCCTGTGTAATTTATAAAACTTAAACTGTAACTGTTGATTACCACATGACACGTGGAAAAGCATATATGAAGTGCTCGTCAAACATTCACAACAAAACAGGAAGTAAAACTCCTGTCTGGAAGGTCAGATTTCACGTATACTTCTAAGACCTGGAGCTGGATTAGTACTGAAATGGACGGAAGGCGATGTCAAACATTCAGGAAATGCGCATCGTGGTGATTGTGTGTGGGATTGGCATGGCAGCATTTGCGATGGCGACTGGGTGGAGGGGCTAAATCTCCTGCGGTCGCGGCATGGCCGGAGCGGTGCTTTGCTGGGAGGGCCTTAAATGGCATTCACACGTGCATTTTCACAGGAAATGCAAATTCTCTAGTTTTATTTAATTCATTTATTCATTCATTTAAAAGAAACAAAACAAATTCATAAAAAGGAAAACATTGAATGAAAAGAGTGCAGAAAGCAGAAAAATAAATCCTTGTATCTGCCCCTTATTTAAAAAGTAAATAAAATAACTTTAAACAATCACTTAAATTAATCACTTTAATATCCACTTTAAAGCTAGGAATAAAAGAACATGTTTTGTGTTAGCAGAATTTAATTCTAACATTAAAACTTATCCAACATTAATAAAACTTAAATTGTCCTTGAGAGGAGATTATCACAGCCTCATAAAATCAATGATGATCATGATATCGGAACTGGATCGGTATTGGCCGATATTCAGATTTAGGTATCGGGATCAGAAGTTAAAAAATGTGGATCGGTCCATCCCTAGAAATAATTTGAGGACATTAAAAGCTGAAAGGATGTGAACAACCCACTGCGCAAGGAGACGTCTAAAGGTCTTTTTTGTCCGGCTAATGTTGGTCCCTCGCAGGTGCAGACTGTGACGCCAGATGAAGTCTTTTTCTAACGTTCAATAGAGACGTCCTTCTGCATCAACTTTTAACTTATTTTATTCACATCAGATAATATTATTATTAATTGCTTTGTGTTGTCATCATGGTAAGTTCCCATGCAATGGTGAACCCATCCATCCCAGGTGGATGTTGGAAGGAGTGGGGTTTGATCCCAGGACCTTCGGGTTTGGAGTCGGCTGCTCTGCCACTACTCCATCTGTATGTGACAAAGAAAGCCAAGGAAACATCCATCCATCCATTCATCCATTCATCATCCATCCATTCATCCTTCCATCCATCATTCATCCATCCATTCATCTTCCATCTATCCATCATCCATCCATCCATCTATTCATCCATCATCTATCTATCCATCCATTTATCCATCATCCATTCATCCACCCATTTATCATCCTTCCATCTATCCATCCATCCACCCATTCATCATCCATCCATCCATCCATCCATCCATCCATTCATCATCCATCCATCCATCCATCCAGCATCTTTACCCCCTTCTTCTTTTTTGGTCCTGGGGGTCACTGGTGCCCATATCCAGCAGTCACTGTGAGAGAAGGGACACCCTGGACAGGTCTCCAGTCCATCACAGGGACACCTAGGGACAATTTAGAGTCACCAGTCAGCCTAACATGCATGTTTTTGGTCTGTGGGAGGAAACCGGAGTAACCAGAGAAAATCTATGCAGCACGGAGAGAACATGCAAACTCACCCAGAAAGGCTCCCAGTCGGGATTTGATCCGGTGACTTTCTCGCTAAGAGACAACAACTTTACCAACTGTGCCACCAATTTCAGGATAATGTTTCTCAGTTTAATAAAATGGAAGGTTTTGATTATTAGGCGGCATGATTGCTTAGTTGGTAGAGCTGCTGCCTCTCAGTGAGAAGGTCGCTGGTTCAAATCCCAGTCCGGGACCTTTCTGGGTGGAGTTTGCATGTTCTCTCCGTGCATGCATGGGTTTTCTCCAGGTACTCCAGTTTCCTCCCACAGACCAAAAGCATGCATGTTAGACTGACTGATAACTCTAAATTGTCCCCAGGTGTCCCTGTGATGGACTGGAGACCTGTCCAGGGTGTCCCCCGCCTCTCGTACAGTGATCGCTGGATATGGGCATCAGTGACCTCCACGACCCTAAAAGGAAGAAGCAAGTAAAGACATGGATGGCTTTGATAAGTCCATCATTCAAAACATTGAAGAATCTGGAGAAATCTGAGCTCAAAGAACAAGGCAGAAAGTCAGTATTGGATGTCTGTGATCCTTGGGCCCTCAGGAGCCCCTGCATCGAAAACAGGTGTGGTTCTGTTACAGAGGTCACTGTGGGGGCTCAGTGACATGCCCTTAAATCCTTGTCTGTAAACACTGTTGGCTGGGCCATCCACAAATGCAGGTTAGAGTTCTGTTATACAAAGAAGAAGCCGTATGTGAACACCATCGAGAAACTGGACCACAACTCATTTAAAGACTGAGGCGAAGTGGAGAACTCTGCTCTGATCACACTAATCAAAATGATCAATTCTTTTTGGAACCCACAAACACCACACCTGAAAGAGTACATGAACTATCCAGCAAGCAGCCATCAGGGCACGAACAACCCACTAAACATTAGACGTGGAATGCATGTGCAGATCATGTGTATACTGAGTCCATCGGTCAAAGACCAATTCTGGGCGTCTCCACCACGTACAAACAAGGTCCACTATTTGGACATCTAACCATGACCTCACTTGTACGGCAATATAGAGTAGAATGTTTGAACGTCAAACTTGGAGGTCATATAGACATCCAAGACAGGTGCAGGTGTGCCTTAAGTGAATATAATCATAAAAGTTACATTCATAAAAGAGTAACTGTGCACAGTTACTCTTATGATTATACATTTGCACGGTTTTGTTCATTAACCAACTGTTGCTATTTTCTGCGTTCATTTCTCTCAGAGCTACTTCTGTTCATCCAGTAAAGAGATTAAAGGGAACATTTAAGGAGATGACTTATTTAACTGGGGGTGGGTGGATGGGTTCACCATTGTATGGGAACATACAACTGACCGTGAAGATTCTCAGTCATCCAGGACATAAATTCAAAAAAGGTTCAATACAAAAACAACTGGACTTTATTTGTAACAGAAGACGATTCACTCCTCATCCGAGGAGCTTTCTCAATTCAAAGAGCAGAGAGTGAGGGGTTCAGGTTCAGAGGCTGAGATAAGACACACATACATATGCAGATTGACAAATCACATCTCACACCTTAACAGTAGGGGTTTCTTAAGGGTTAGAGAAAGCTCCTCGGATGAACGTCTTCTATTACAAATAAAGTCCAATTGTTTTGGTATTGAACGTTTTTTTAAATACAACAATGACAACACACAGCACTTAATAACATTATTATTATAATTATTATTACAATTATTATCTGAAGTGACTAAAAGAATTTAAAATTTGATGAGCTGTGCACCTGTCTTGGATATGACCTCCAAGTATGACGCTCTAGATTGACGTACAAGTGAGATCATATGGTTGTTTGCACGTTGTGGAGACGTCCAGAATTGGTCTTTGACCGACGGGCTCAGTATACACATGATCTGCACGTGCATCCCACGTCTAATGTTTAGTGGGTTAGGCTGATGGTCCTTTTGCATGTGAACATGCTGTGACTGGCAAGTGCTCTTTTTAGAAGATTGAGTTTATTGCAGCTTCTCAGACTCAAGACGTCTTTTAGGGAATATCTTGTACATATAGCATATTTAGCAAGACTATGCTAAACCTCCTATTGCATCATTAGAAGAGAGAAAAGTCCTGGTGCTGAACGAACCTGGTCCTGACCTTGGACAGGGAAGAACTGAACCTCCATCAGACAAGAGTGGGTCAGTTCCTCCAGCAGCTTTCTAATTGTGCTTACAGGCTGAAAATACACATATCTGCCCTACCCAACACACGCACGCACACACATCATTGTGTCATGAGCATCACTCCCTGTGCACAGAGTTGTGGACAAGAGTGTGCGTAATGGGCCAGGTTTCTCAGCTCACGCGCGCCATGTTGGACGCTCACATCACAACAAACGCACAGAGCCTCCTGCTCATGCGCTCCACATTCTGCAACCAGTCAGCATCTCTCATGGCCGACTGGCGCCACTGGAAGTGAAAAAACACGCACACTGTGGTGGAAAAGGATCGATCCTCATGATGGACACTTCCTGTTGCACCTGCTGCTGCTGATCAGCACTGATGGATGCTTTGCAATCATATCTATACCATCTAGATCTATAATATGTGCATGTGTGTATATGTGCATGTGTGTATATGTGCATGTGTGTATATGTGCATGTGTAGGTCCATGTCAGTGCGTCCCGCACTTTGATCTAAACATGTTGGAAATGACAGAAAGCAGGTCAGACACAGAAAAAGGCTCCAATAAAAAACACTTACTCGCGCCGTGTGTGTGTCTCACGCACTGCTCCTCGCGCCGTGTGTGTGTCTCACGCACTGCTCCTCGCGCCGTGT